CGGGCTAACGTTAGCCCTGGCTGCTTCAGGCGGGCTAACGTTAGCCCTGGCTGCTGTCAGCTATTATTTAGAGACTATTAATAACAGGAGGTGAAATGCAGCTCCAGACGAGCTTTGAATGTGGTGATGTCATCAGTACGCTGCTGTTCTAATTGACCCAGATTTATTCTGCGTTCTCCCGTTCTCCTCGAGTCCAGACTTTCCTGGGTTCTTCTCTAGAACGGACTTGGTGAGAACACGAGTCCGTACTCACGTTCTAGTGAATTGAGAAACGACCATCAACCTTTTAATCAGTTTGCCTGAGCTGTAGCGCCTCCATGTGTTCAGAAATGTCTCGACTCAACATTCCACCTGGGAACTACCTGAACGTATGTGGTGGGGGTGTGTGTGGGATGGGGGGGTCACCTTGTGCAGACGTCCTTCTCGATCTCCGAGGAAGGCGATGGTGAGTCCAGCCTCCGTTGCTGTGGTAACAGAAGTCAGCTGGGTCTCCAGGGTGACGGTGGGCGGAACTCCAAGGGGCACGGCGCTGGCGATGGGGTTGGGGGTGTGTTCCCCCCCACAGGGGTACTCAGACAGAGAGTCCTTTAGAGTGAATGGAGAGAGAGAGAGCCTGATGTTTACAAACACATTAATGCCCCCCCCCATCCAGACGCAGGCGGCTGTATTTGGGTCAGATCGCCCAGCAGCTGGTTGACTGACAGCTGCCTGCTGATCCGTGCGGATGATCCCTCCTCTCTGCTGCAGGAGGATCAAAGGTTCAGCCCCAGCTGAGCTTCAGGATGGCTCACATGTTGCAGATCAGTCTGATGCAACCTTTTCATCCCCTCACCATGATGCTCACACCTCCAACCTCCCTGCCTGAGCTGTTAGAGGACCGACGTCTTCATGGTTCTGATCAGATCACATCCTCACAGTATCTCACTCAAACGTTCTGGAATAAACTTTCAGCAAGTTTCATTTTGCTTCTTCTTCTTCTGCTGCGCTGAGCGTCGATTAGTGAAGCTAACCGCGTTCACTGGAACATCCACAGGTTTTATTAATGATTTAATAATCAGGTAGCCAAAGGTTCCTTAAAGAAGTTTTTTTTTCACAAAATTAAACCAGGTGAAACTAAAAAATACATTTTCATCCTTTAATATTCTCTATCCAGAACTCCTCAAGTGGAAAAGTTTTAGTTGCACCTGGTTTCATTTTGTCAAAAATCTTTTTTAAGGAACCTTTGACTGTCCGATTATTTATAATTAATCGATTTGCAAAATAATCATTAGTTTCTGCCCTAAATGCTTTACTTTTTCTACCTGACTGTCAGAATGCTCCTGCTCTGCTGAGCTGTTTCCAGTCGTCTCCAGATGATTCCTGCTAATGACCTTTTTTTTTCCACCTAAAACAGCCGATACCCGTTTACACCTATAGGGGGCAGCACTGCTCTCTAAAAACAGGAATTCTTCCTCTCTTAATGGGTTCAGGATAAACATCTGCTGCTGTTATTCAGGTGAAGCTATCAGAGACCCATCTATGACCTCATCACATGTGATGATGTCATATCGACGGGGCATCAGAGGGATTGTGGTTTATGCAGGTTAGATCCGGTTAGAAACGGGTAAGTTAGTAAAATCAGTCCAGTTCTCACATCTTTACCTTCGGCAGCTTCAGACACTTCGACGACACGTAGTACTCGATGTACGCCACTTCATGCCCTCCGTCGTCTCGCCCCTCCTTCGTGTAGCACACTTCCTGCGCTCGCCGCATCATGGCGTCCAGCTCCGTCATCCCATAGATACAGAGCGCGGAGCGGCTCGTCGCTACAGGCGTGGACGCCTGCCCTGCTGCCATGGCAACAAACAGCGCTGGTCTACCAGAGACGTTTCCGAGCCACGCCCCCTGGGCCAGGTTGTATCCCTCGCGGCAGAGCAGCGGCACCTCCACGTAGGAGTAGAAGCTGCGGTCGGAGGTGCAGAGCCGCGAGGCGTACGTGCGGTACTCCTTCTTATGTCGCATGTCCCGTCGGGAGAACAAGAAGTAGACGTGATCGCCGTGGACGATCGCCTTCACAAAGTGGTTGCTGTACTCGGAGTAACTTCCCACCACCAGTTTTCCAAGCTCCTCCTCCTGGGAGAAGGCTCTGCGGGGCGGAGTCACCGGGTGCAGGCGGCGGGTGGTGATTGGCGGGATGTCCCCGGGACCCCTGCTGGTGTAGCCTCTACCGACAAGCATGAGATGCAGCTCGCCGCCGGCCGCAGCCCCCTCCTGTTTGTTCTGGACGGTTATCACCACGCCGACCGTAGAGACTCGGGGGTCATTGGCCGCCACGTACTGAGTGTCGACGGGGTTGGAGGTCCGGTAGATGAGCTGAGAGACGTTGGACAGACTCCTGTGGAGAAACCAGGAAACGCGTCATGAGACGGTCAGTCCAACATCCGCTGAACCACAAACCAGCACAGACTCACCGCTTCTCACAGATCCCCTGGAACAGGGAGCCACAGACGATCAGGCTCCCTGGCTCCGCCCCCTGCCCCCGCTCCATTAGCAGCAGCTTGTTGTGGTTATGAGTGGGCGTGGCTGAGGAGCAGTCGTGATGATTGATAGGGGGGAGGCAGTCCGGGGAGTCCAGCTCAGGGCCGGTCCTAACCTCCGACACCACCTCCAGGTCAGGCGTCAGCTGATACAGGTGGTCGACTCCGCCCACATACAGACGCCCCGCCCCCGGGTCCAGCAGCAGGTGGGAGAGGGGGGAGCCATCCAGCTGGACCCGCTGGATGGAGTCGTCTGCAGAGTGGGAGGGGGGGAGGAGGAGGAGGAGGAGGAGGAGGACTGATGAGGAGATGGAGGAGGCCAACATGGCAGCTCCTCTTTACCTGCAACAGGTGAGAAGAAGAAGAAGGTCATCAGCAGATGGTTCTGCTAAAGTCGGATCAGAGAGCAGACAGATCTAAACAGCCGGAACGTTCTGACCCAACCGCCGCTGAACCTGCGTGCGTGTCGGGGTCAGAGGTCAGGTTCTGCCTGTGCTGTTCAGGCGGTTATGGGAGGAATGGCGGCGTAGAAGCAGCAGCAGCAGCAGGCGGCGAACGGAAGCGGCGCCGACCTGAGATCAGAGCGACGCTGTGAAAAGCATCCACCCACAGAGTCTCTGAGCAGACATCCAGCCTGGTTTCCTCTGTGGATCCAGCAGGAAGGGTCTGAGCAGAACCCGACCATGACGGCGTGCGCTCTGAGCGAGCGGCATCGATGATCCACGCCTCAAATGGGAAATATGGAAATCCACCTGAGCAGGTGAGCCTGAGCCCAGCAGGAGCAGCAGAACTCATTCACACATTTCTCCGCTTCGCATTTTCCATCTGACCGTCCAACTGCAGCTGCCTGTAGCAACGTTACCATGGCAACAGCCCTGTATCCACAGCAACACTTCTCAACACCTCAAACTGGGATGTTACGGGACTCAGTTGGGGTGGTAAACTGGGTTAAACTGGTTCCATTCTTCCTGTAATGGCAGAACGCGGCTCTGACCTCAGGGGCCGCGGTTCTGCAGCTGAACAAACCGATCCGGTTCCAGAACCGCGAGCTCAACCTCAGAGCAGCGAACATCAGGATCTCTGGTTCTCTCCCTCCTCTCTCTGTTCTTCTCTAAGTTCCTCCCGTTGTTGTTCTGGTAAGTTCTACAGGTCCATCAGAACCCGTAAAGTTTGGGTCTGTGCTGGAAACTAACCAGAAAGGTTCTGGTTAAAGAACCTGGAGTTCACGTCTCCATGGGAATCCTGCATGTTTTCAGGCTCATCCATAATTAATGGAGGAGAAGAGATAACGATGTGGAGGTCAGAACGTGGGCAGAAGAAGAAGAGACAACAGAAGGAATCTGAACAGCAGAACGAATCTGGATCCTTTTTTCTCTAGAAAGAGCAAAAGAGGCAGAACCCTGAAGGGAGAGAACATCCTGAAGGACGGAACCTGAACGGATCCAGGGCATTCCCAGGACCAGAACCTCCATCTGAGGGTTACCTGCTGGTTCCTCTGGAGTAACTGGACCTTTAGTTGGTGAGGATGCAGAACCACCGCACATCAGCAGGGTTCCATCTGGACCATCTTTAATGGAACAGATCTGAGGTGCAGCTGCATGAAGAGCCACAGTCAAACACATTCCTGGATCGGATCAGTTCAGAACCGGGCCGGCCCAGAATCTCCATACCCTCCAGAACCAGCCTGGTTCTGATGGTTTGGAGAGACAAGAAAGCTTAGAGGAACGGAACCTCAGGAGGAGAAACCAGGTGCTGCTCCGGGCAACTGAACTTCCTGGCGTTGGTGGTTACCATGGTAACGACGATGCTGCAGCAGTTTACTCGGCTAATCGCTGCAGTTTTCTAAACTCCTCTTTTGTTTCTGCCCCCCCCCCCCCGTATGTTAATGAGGGACAGGCTGCTTTCATCACAGAGAGGTGATGATTACAGGCTGCTTCACCTCAGGCAACCCCCCCCCCACACACACACACACACACACACACACATTATCTCTATGGTTTTTCTGCCGACTCCATCTTCAAAGAGCCAACACACACACACACACAGCGCAGCTCCTCCGCTCTTCAATTTCTTCTCTTTGTTCATTTCCTGTCCTTCCCTCTCGGCGACTCCCCCCCCCCACACCCCCACCCCTCCCACTGCGTTTGTTCTCGTCCTACTTTCAGTCTGCAGAGGAGCTTCACAGCTGCTTCTGTTCTGGGACCCGGTTCTGAATAGTTCCTGGGTTTTATTTTTTCACCAGAACCGTTCCCTCGTCTCCTCCTCAGAGCACCACTGCAGTACCACTGAGCAGGACACCAGCGGCAGGAACCGCCTGCCAACTCTGGTACCGGTCCAGGATCCGGTTCTACTGAGGCAGAACATCAGCTAAAGCAGCCACACCAGGAACCAAGCACCTGCATAGAACCTGTCTGACAGCATGAAGCACGCCGTCTGATTATAAACAGAACCCGAGTCTCTGACATCTATCAGAGCTACAGGTCCATATCTGGGGAACCAGGACCACAGTCAGAACCACGACCCACACAGAGAGAACGTAGAACAGTGGAGAGGAACTAATTC